CATTACCATTGATGTCTGTTTGCTTTGCTAAAGGGAAAATGTATATTCTAGTAAATAAAAAGCTTTCAGTTCGGAGATTCAGAGAGCCTCTCCACTAGAGAGTAGGTCTCCTTCTGGCTCCCACAATAATTTCTAAATTTATATTTCTTATCTAGTGTATCCGTTTGTGTACAGCCCCTTCTCCAGATCCTGAATCCTTGCTGCAAAAGGTTGAGGCATCATCAAAACCGCAGGCCTACGCTCCATCCACTGAGCCAAACCGGTTTCGGCAAGAGTTTCTCTTAAATACTTTCCATCTACATTTATTTAGTACAGAAAAAGGGTCACATTTATGAAACACAGGTTGGTGACTCAGCTATCCTCCTAGGAGAATGAAAATCAGGGTGTAGGCCACTAGTGGGAGGAGAAGCATATCAAATGATTCTCCAGCTAAGGACAGGTCCTTACCAACAAGCCATACTGGGGAGAGAAAGGAGCTAAATCTCAGCTGAGGATGGGCAAGGAGCCTGAAGGGCAATTTTTACAAGATGTACTAGAGATAAACAAGGCCAGTAGGAAACAAACTGGGAGTAGTTTCACAGTTCTTGGAAAAACAAGCTGCATCTTCTCCATAATCTTGATTCATAGAAATATGTGAAATACAAAATGGCCAAATACCCTTATCGAACACCATACAAATATTAACTTAAAATGGATCAAAGACTTAAATGTAAGAGCTAAAACTATGTAACTCTTATATGAAAACATAGGAGAAAAGCTTCATGACATTGGATTTGGCAATGATTTCTTAGATATGACATCAAAAGGGCAGGCAACACGTCAGCCAGTTTGGCTCAGTGGTTGGGCATCATCTATGAACCAGGAGTTCACGGTTTGATTCCCAGTCAGGGCACATGCTGGGGTTGCCGGTTTGTTCCTCAGTAGGAAGTATGCAGGAGGCAGCTGATCAATGATTCTCTATCATCATTGATGTTTCTCTCTTTCTCTTTCTCTCTCTCTCTCTCCCTCTCTCTCTCTCTCTCACCCTTTTGCTCTGAAATCAATTTAAAAAATTAAAAAAGGACAGGCAACAAAAGAATAGAGAAGTAGGATGCATAAAAATTAAAGTTTTGTGCATCAAGGGACACTGTCAACATAGTAAAAAGGCAACTCACAGAATGGGAGAAAATATTTGCAAATCACATATCTGAAGAGGAATTAATATCCAGAATATAGAAAGAACTCCTAGAACTCAATAACAAAAAACCCAAACAACCCAATTAAAAAATGGGCAAAAGGCTTGAATAGACATTGTCCAAAGAAGATAGGCAAATGACCAATAAGCACATGAAAAGACACTCAATTTTAATAATGATTAGGGAAATGCAAATCAAAACCACAATGAGATACCACTTCACATCCATTAGGATGGCTAGACATATATAAAAACAAACAAACAACAGAAAGCAAGTGTTGACGAGAATGTAGAGAAATAGGGTGTAAAATGGTACAACCACTATGGAAAATAGTACGGTGGTTTCTCAAAAACTTAAGCAGAATTACCATTTGATCCAGCAATTTAAATTCTTGATATATATACAAAAGAACTGCAAGCAGGAACTCAAATAGCTATTTACACATCAATGTTCATAGCAACATTCTTTAAATACCCAAAAGGTGCAAACAATCTAAATGTCCACTGATGGGTAAATGAATAAACAAAATGTGCTCTCACGCTACACACACACACACACACACACACACACACTGCAATATTATTCAGTTTTGAAGAGGAATTAAATTCTGGCACATGCTTCAACATGGTTGAACCTTGAAGACATTATGCTAAGTGAAATAAGCCAGATACAAAAGGACAAATATTGCATGATTCCACTTATATGAGCCACCTAGAATAATCAAATACACAAATACAGAAAGTAAAACATAGTTACTAGGGGCTGGGGAGGGGGAGGAGAAATGGAGAGTTACTGTTTAATGGATATAGGATTTCAGGTCGGGAGATGAATAGTGGTGATGGTCCACAAAATGTGAAGTACTTAATGCCATTGAACTGTATACTAAAAATGGTTAAAATGGTAAATTTATGTATATTTTATCATGCATAAAAAAGGAGTTAAGATGAACAAGCTTCACAATCAACTTCAGACAAATATGACACCTGTGTATACAATATAAAAATGCATGCAGTTTATTACATTAGAAAATGGACAACCATTCAGTTATGCTGAGGGTATTAACTGATTAAAGAGTTTTGCCCTCTATGAAGCCAATAAGAATTAACAGAAAAATGTCATCTATCTTCTGGATAACTAAAAAACAACAACACACAAAAAAAGTGAGAGAATGGACTTTGTTTAATAAGCAATAATGGATTTACAAGCATCACTTTGCAATGCCTCAAACAGAGGCTGGAATGTGTCTGGGGGTTATCAAGCTCAAAAACTCACAAATCTGTCAGAAAAAAATGGCAGGCTGGGCAGGCAGATCTAACAAAGAGTCCTCTCTTGTCTGCTATCTTAATAGGTGCTATAGATTCCGGTTAACTCCTGTTTGTGGTCTTTAGGTTTTATTTTAGGAGTCCTTTAGAATCTATTTGGGGATTAAGTTCTTGATTTTTTCTTTCTACTTAGTTTGCTGCTAACAACTGCAGGTCCCTACTGCATCTCAAAGCCAGCTTTTTGGGAAGCTGTGAATACACTTAACATTTAAGTGATGTTAGCTTTAATGTTCATAAGTGAAGAGAGAGAAGTGCTCCAACACATGTTGGAGATTAACAAGGCAGTCAAATACTTTGAATCTGATAGTGCTGAGAATAAAATCAAGTGTACCCTAAACTGTCATGTAGTGCCCTTCAAAGTCAGTTAGGGAAGAGAAGCAACAACTATTTTGAGAGCAGTTTTGCAAAGGGTCCCAGAATAGTATCACCCTTCCCCCATTTCCCAAGTGAAAAGGATTGGTAAGAGAGGTAATGAGTGTACAAAAACTCCATGAGAATAAGAACACTTAAATCACTCACCACTGATCCTCATTACCCAGCACCATACATTGTATACAGCAGGCCTGTAATTATTTATTGACTAAATAAACCTTTGAGAGCTGTTATCCCTTCCCCGTTCTCAAACAGAACTATCTACTCTCCTCCATAGAAATTGCCTCATCTCTGGTTGTAGACTCTTTTTGAGAGGCACTTTCATCACTTCATTTAACTTTGAAAGAAGTTGGAGGAGGGTGAGGACATGTGCTTACTAATCATCCTTTTCCAGATTGCCTCATGCACCAGAATGGATTTTTATTATTGGTCTGTGGCTGTTACTGCTGTAGAAAGATTTCAGCCTGACCTTCCCAAGCTACTGGGGGATGAACACTGCACATGGCTGACGGAGAAAAAAAATCTTCCTTTAAAAAAAAAAAAAAAGCTTTTAGACTAACCAGAGCTCACTGTGGTAGGAAAGTCACCCTTTCTCTCACTGAACAAAATTCAAGATGTTGTATTCTTTTGTATAAAAATGGTATGTAGTAAAACCAATCTGAATTGGTCCATCAGGAAAAAGGTAGCATCTTGAAGTACCTTACAGACAGCAGTGGTATCAAAGAACAGGATTCAGGAATGCCCCACAGGCAGAATAGAAAAAAAAGAAAATGAAGCCATTTATAAAGGCAGTTTAAATAACAGGATGGATTCTCACTGGTGGCCTCATGAAAGAGAACAAATATGTCACAGGGAACAACTGATATACTAATAGAGTCCTATCCATCTGGCTGAGGAAAGAGCCACTGGTTGGAATACTGAGAAGCTTGTCTGTTGGGAAAAAGGCTTGCTGGGTGCCTCACTGGAATAGCTGAATCGCTTTTAGGAACGCTGGAACACATGGTCACACTGTAGCTGGCTAGTCCTGCTAGCAAGAGGTTCAAAGAAGGGTTACACTGGTGCACTGGCAAAAAAAAAGCAGAGCAGAGCATATGTGGGCTTTTAAAAATTGGCTTAGAGCCTATATACTGGTACCTGGACTCTCACCTCATGCATACCCTGGCCCTCCAACTTAAGAATAAAGTGAGAAGGAAGGGAGATTGTGTGAATAGGATGTTTCATTTTGTGCTTTTAAAAATAGGACTCGCCTGGACGGTATGGCTCAGTGGTTGGGTGTCAACATATAAAGCAGAAGATCACAGTTCAATTCTGGCCAGGGCATATGCCTGGGTTGTGGGTTCGATCCCCAGTGTGGGTCTTGCAAGTGGCATCTAATCAATTATTCTCTCTCATCATTGATGTTTCTGTCTCTCATTCCCTCTCCCTTCCCTTCTGAAATCAATAAAAATATATTTTTTAAAAAAAGAAAGGACTCAAGAGTCTCATTCTGAAACCAAGTTCAAGCCCCACCATGCGCTAAAGTTCCATCTCTACTTTTATATAATGCAGAGCCGAGGGCCGGCACTTTGGGAGATGGGGAAATCAGGCCAGACTCCAGGAAAACAAGCACACAATGCTATCTGAATCTCCAATCAGTCCATGCCATAGAAAAATCTACTCAGAAATAATTGTTCAAGCTATATAGAACTCAATTACTAAAGAAAACCTGCCCCAATGAAGGCTCACGTTTTAACAAGCCAAACAGCATCAAATTAAGCTGAACTCAGGGTTTTTCTAATTGGCAGTTTCATCCATTTCTAAGTTTTCATTTCTTATTTTCAAAAATCAAAATGACTCTCTGCCTAAAATAAAAAGAAAATAAATGCCTTATCACCCACTCTAAAATAAGAATTCTCCAAATTTTCACCTACAGATCTTATATATAATTTAACAAACCTCTCATATGGCACAAAAGCTGAAGCCATTACTATTTAAAGTACTATCAACAAATCACTTACTAATTCCTCTTAGCAGCCTAGCTCTTGCCACTCCCACTAGAAGCTCAGTCACGAATCCCTCTGCCATTAGAGAGAGGGCAACTACTTGATCCTAGCCACCAAGCAGGGTCACTCTGGGGAGAGTAGTAGCTTACCTGCTCCTCAGACAGTTGGGATATATGATTCACAGCAGCATAGGATTCAATTTTGGGGTTAAAGTGGTTGATGATGGCTCTGAAACAAAGAATTAACATTAATATAGCACCAGATGGAAAGAAGAAGAAATGAGTTAAAAACAAGTATTGCGTACTCTCTGGTTTAGAGTGCAAAAGCATGGGAATGATTGTCAGAGGGTAATTGTCTCCTTACTGAACATGAGATCATATGAGGGTGAACTGATAACTCTGAAGGGGGAAGGGTTTAATAATTTATTAGAGACAATAGAATTAAGCATCTCTGCTTTGCAAATGAACTAGAGAAAACCTCCCAACCAAGCAAAAAACAAAACCAAGCATCCTTCAGACAAGAAACAGGACCCAGTGGGCTGTCCACTAGGGGGCCCTGGTGTTTCAGTCAGGATGAAAAGTACTTGGCTCTGCTCTGAAGAGCTCCAAGGGGAGAACAGGGCACTCTGGACCTACATGTACGCTAAATGCAGCCTCTGAAGAAGCTGAGCTTTATCAAAGCCTAGAATCAATCTTCATACTTGTTAGTTAATATTTCAAATCAAAATTTTATTTCCAGCTATTGAAACCAAAATCTGAGTGTCACTCTCAAATACTCTCTCTTTTTTACTTCCTCACATTCAAGGTCACCAAGTCTTATCAAATCTACCTCTTAAAAAATCTCTGAAATCTGAAATAAATAAATTTCTCTGAAACCAATGCCTTGGTATAGGTCCTTATTTCTTGTCTGGTATAGCAGAAAAATCACAGGTTTTAGACAAATATTTGTGTGTATGACAGCGTAATAGAAATCAATGTTTTCTTTTCATATAACTTATTGATTGTAAAGAATTACAGAACCATTGAATCTAATACAGGTAAAAAAAAATATAAACCAGAGATCTTACAAAAACATGGTCTGGAATCCTTCTTTGACCACTTATGATTCTGAATGATTTTAGGGAAGCTATATCTCTCATTAGAAGGAAAAATGTGGGAATAATAATACCTATCTTAGCACTTAGCACAGTACCTAGGAATAGTACATTGTAGGCGTACAATAAATGTTTGTTGAAAGAGTGATTAAATCTTAGAGGATTCTTACAACATTTATATAATAAAGCAACATCAAACACCTAGCACAATGCCTGGCACACAGCTGGTGCTCAGTAAATATTCAATGAATGAAAAAATTAAATAAGACAGAAATGGGTCAGAGTCCTATGCTTTATGCTGCAGGGCATGAATGCTCATATTGTTTGGCGGAGGATATGACAAATTTGCCACTCTGGGAATTTATATTTGGAATGAAGATAAAATCAACCTCCAACCTGCCCTGTGACATTCTCATTCCAGAGCTTCAAATCTCAGCAGGTGATTAAGGTCTCCCACCAGACAAACTGAGGGACTGTTTAGGAACCTGAGAGATGTGGAACAGTCTAAATCCAGTTAGTAATCTCTAACTCAATACCCACGAAGGGCACTTGAGTATATGTCTCTGCTTTACTTTTCTTGCTGTTTTTTTAGGGTTGTTACTTGAAAAATCTGAGTACTAATCTGATCTACTGGAGATGCCAGGTGCAGGGCACTAGGCTTAGGAGATAAGAAAAATAACCTGACACTGACTGTTTTTCCTGCCAGCCTCTTTAGGAAGGAATTTGAGAGCGGGATTAGGAGCTTCATACTGTTGAAATAGAAATATGTTCTGAGATAGCAAAGAGATGACAAACACGGAAACCAGGCTAAGTCAGCCCAACTGAATGACACAGGCCTTGACTGAAATACTAAGCTTCTCCTTCTCTAGGAAGTTTGGAGGCTACCAGGGCTCATCTGGGTTGTGATTCCACACTGCCCCCACCTGGCAATGGCCCTAGACTGGGACTTAAGCCTGACTAGCTCTCAGTGGAAGAAAGATGAAGCACCAGATTTATGGATGAAAGAAGCATCTTTTTTTTTTTAAGGCTTTCCTTCCCACTGATATTATTTCCAAAAGGATTTACTGCCATCTCTTCTGAAGATTGTGTGGGCTAAGGAGTAGAAAGAAGAGGAAATTTGAGTAGGGAATAAATCATTAAACAGACCCATATGGAAAGATTAAGGCTTCCCTTTGATAAAGGTGGCAAGACAATCTAATAAGAAAACAATAGTTTTTTTTCAAGAAATGGTGCTGGGATATTGGATATCTATATGCAAAAAAAAATAAAGTTAGATCCCTACCTCACACCATATACACAATTAACTCAATGTGGATCACAGATCTAAATGTAAGATCTAAAAACTATAAAATTCTTAGAAGAACACATGAGAATAAATTTTTACAAACCTGGGTTAGGCAATGATTTCTTGGATAGGATACCAAAAGCACAAGTGACAAAGAAAAAGTAGGTCAAGTTAAAAAATGTTTGTGCTGCAAATGGTATCATCAAGGAAGTGAAAAGAAAACCCAGAGAATGGGAAACAATATTTGGGCATCATACAGCTGATAAAGAACCCCAATGAGATACCACTTGACACCTGCTAGGATGGCAATAATATAAAAGACAGTAACAAGTGTTGGTAAGGACATGGAGAACTCTCATACATTGCTGATGGGACTGTAAAATGGTAGAGCTACTTTGGAAAATGATTTGGTAGCTCCTCAAATGTTAATAAATAGAGTTACCATATGACTCAGAAATTCTACTCTTAGGTATATACCCAAAATAATGAAAACATTAAGGCTACAGAGAGCCATGGCCGGACAGGTCAGTTGGTTAGAGCACTGTCCAGATATACCAAGGCTGTGGGCTCGATTCCTGGTCAGGGCACATAAAAAAAATCAACAAATGAATGCATAAAAAAGTCAAACAACAAATCGATGTTTCTCTCTCTTGCTCAAATCAATTTTTTAAAAATATTATGTCTACACAAAAACCTGTACACAAATGTTCATAGTAGCATTATTTGTAATAGCCAAAAAGTAGAATAATCCAAATGTCCATGAATGGATAACTGAAGAATGGGTAAACTGAAGAAAGGATAAACAAAATGTGGTATGGCTACAATAGATTATTCAGCCATAAAAAAGGAATGAAGTACTGATAAATGCTACAACATGGATGGACCTTGACAATATTAAATGAAAGAGGCCAGACACAAAAGGCCACATATTGTATGATTCCATTTATAGAAAAGTCCAGAATAGGTAAATTATTATATATAGAGAAAGCATATTAGTGGTTGCCTGAGGCTAAAGGGAGGATTAGAGGAGTAATAAAGATTGACTGCTAGCCGAAACCGGTTTGGCTCAGTGGATAGAGCGTCGGCTTGCGGACTGGAAGGTCCCAGGTTCCATTCCGGTCAAGGGCATGTACCTGGGTTGTGGGCACATCCCCAGTAGGAGATGTGCAGGAGGCAGCTGATCGATGTTTCTCTCTCATCGATGTTTCTAACTCTCTATCTCTCTCCCTTCCTCTCTGTAAAAAATCAATAAAATATATTTTAAAAAATAAAAAATAAAAATAAAAAAAATAAAAAAAGATTGACTGCTAATGGGTATAGAGTAATTTGGGGGGGAGGGGAGATAAAATATTCTAAAATTAGATTGTGGCGATGGTTATACAATAAGTTGTACATGTTAAATGGGTGAATTATAACATATATGAATAAAGTTGTTTAAAAAAAAAAAAGACTAAGGCCTCTGCCTCCAGCAGTTCTTGAGAAAGCTGCTTTCTCCAGCAACCAATTCTGCTAGAATTTACAGATCCCGGAGTGTTTCACTTACCAAGATGACTTTCCTAGAGCCTGCATCTGTTAGCAATGCTGGTGGCAGGAGGAAAAGAAACTCATTGGGCCAGCGACTATTTTATAAATTACAGCAGATAGAGTTTAAGGATCTTCTGCACATGTCTGAGATTTTTTTGCCTTTGGATTCTTCTAGAATTTTTATGGTTTCCTGTCGTACATTTAAGTCCTTTATCCATTTTGAGTTTATTTTTGTGTATGGTGTAAGTTGGTGGTCTAGTTTCATTTTCTTGCATGTATCTGTCCAATTTTCCCAACACCATTTATTGAAGAGACTATCTTGACTCCACTGTATGTTCTTGCCTCCTTTGTCAAATATTAATTGAGCATATTGGTTCGGGCCCAGATTCGATTTTTAAAACTGAATGAATGAAAGTCTGAGAAGGTTTCTGTCCAGTCTCACCACTAACAAGGAGCTCCATGATCACCAGTTATTCTCTAAAAGTATGAAAATAGCAGTAAAAATGTTTTATCCCTATCCTGGGAGAAAAGGTGGCTCAGACAGGAACAGCTGTCCTCCAAAGAAGAAACAAAACTTGTCACTAAAGACAATAAAGGTTTCTCATCTTCAATCATACCAGGAGGCCAGAGAAAAGCTTTCTGGCATTTCCTATTAATCTAGTAGCTTCTGAAAGTAAGCCTAAATTTCTGTTTATTTGGGAGAGCAGTGGGGGAGTGTGTTACACTCTGGTATGTGACCTCCTAGTGCAGCTGAATTAATCCCAAAGGGGAAAGAGAAAAGAAACAGACAATGGCACAGTCAAGGGTATTTCAAAAGCCAGCTTCCATGAGGGATGACTCTGCACCCAAAGCACCTTTAAGGGCAAGAATCTGGGGCACCCTCCAAGCAACTGTCAATTTCTGAGTGCTGAAGACAGGGGTCACTTATACAAACTGAAGCAAAATGAAGTGGACAGATGGAACAGCAAGGCTGAGCTGGGTATTTCTTGGTCCATTTTTAACTTATTCTCTCTGACTCATGGCTCTGCAAAGCAGCTTTCTTTTCCCTAGTGCTGGATGGATGATGGCTGAGACACAAGTTAATGCCCAACTTACCCAAAAAAATGTGTGGAAATGTTACCTTAACAATGTAGGCAATGTAGCTTAAGAGAAAATGTGGACTCTTCCTCATATCCAATGTGAATCTAAAACAAATCTCCAAAGATGCAATTTCTCACAATACCAGCTATCTTCTACAGACAGGGGGAACATCTAAGGGTCTTTCATGAAACATTAAATAAATAATGTTTCATCCAGGAGCCCAGAACATGGTGATTGTTTCCTGAC